AAATAAAATTAAAAAAAGAAAAAAAAATGTGACCAATGAATCCATAAAAATCCTAGAAGAAAATTTAGGCAATAAAATTTCGGACATCATACGCAGCAGAATTTTCACTGATACATCACCTAAGGAAACAGAAACAAAGAAAAAAAATGAACACATGGGACTACATCAAACTAAAAAGCTTCTGTACAGCAAAAGAAACCACCATCAAAATGCAAAGGGAAGCCACTGTATGGGAGAGCATAACTGCCAATGACATATCAGATAAGGGGTTAATTTCCAAAATATATAGAGTACTCATACAACACAACAAAAGAAAGACTAAGAACCCAATTAAAAAATGGGCAGAGGAGCTAAATAGACACCTCTCCAAACAGGACATACAAATGGCTAAGAGACATATGAAGAAATGCTTGACTTCCGGGCAAGATGGCGGTGTAGGTAAATGCGGTATCGCGTCTTCCCACAACCACATCAAGTTGCAACTAAACTACTGAACAACCATCATTCAAAACCACCTGAAATTAAGCGGATGGAAGTCCTACAACTATGAAAGTTAAGCAGCATCCACATCCAGACTGGTAGGAGGGTCGGAGGGGTGGAGGCGCAACGGGCTGGTCCCACACCCATGTGTGGCAGATAAAAATCAGGACACCTTGGCTGGGAAGGTCCTTCCTGAGGACTGAGGGGTCCCCGTCCCACACCAGGTGCCCCGCTCAGTGTTCCAATGCCAGGAAAAGAAGTCCTCATAACTTTTGGCTGGAAAAACCAGCGGGAACTGAGGCTCAGGGAAGCTGAAGCGGCTGGAGCCCCAGGCAGCTCCTTAAAGAGCCGGCGCACGGACTTATCGGACTCTCTCCCTCTAAGCATGGAGGGGAGGCAGCTCGAGGGCCACCAGAGACATACAGGGAAGAACTGAGCTGTTTGGCACCAGAGCAAGGGCTGGAGAAGGGGCTTTCTCCAGGATAAACGTGCTGTCAGAAGCCTTTGTTCCTTTGGTGAGCCCTTCCCTGGGGCAGCAGTTAGTCACCATATCTGGGACTCCAGCAACCTGGCTCACACTGGTAGCCCCACCCTGGTGACTCCCTGAGGCCCTGCCCCATCGAACGTTCAGGCCCACCCAAGCTGTTGCCACTTGCTTAACTATAGGATTGGCCTGTCTTGGATCCTGCTTCAGGTTTTCCTAAATTCTTTCAAACAAGCAGCATCTGATCTCAGCTAGCCCCATACCGCTCGTTAAGTAATACACAGAAACAAACACAGGGAGGCAGCCAAAATGAGGAGACAAACAAACAGGTCCCAAATGAAAGAACAGAACAAAACCCCAATAAAAGAACTAAGCGAAATGGAGATTAGCAACCTAACAGATGCTGAGTTCAAAATACTGCTTATAAGGATGTTCAATGAACTTAGTGAGAACCTCAGTGAACTTAGTGAGGGCCTCAAGAGCATAAAAAAGGACCAGTCAGAAATGATGGATGCACAGTCAGAAATGAAGGAGGCATTAACTGAAATAAAGAATAATTTACACAGATTCAATAGTAGAGTAAGTAAATCCAAGAAGCAAGCCATCAATTTGGAATATAAGGAAGCAAAAAACACCTAATCAGAATAGCAAAAAGAAAAAAGAATCCAAAAAAATGAGGACAGTGTAAGGAGCCTCTGGGACAACTTCAAGCGTGCCAAGATTTGCATCTTGGGGGTGCCAGAAGGAGAAGAGCGAGAACAAGAAATTGAAAACCTGTTTGAAACAATAATGGCAGAAAACTTCCCTAACTTGGTGAAGGAAATAGACATACAAGTCCAGGAAGCACAGAGAGTCCCAAACAAGATGAACCCCAAGAGGCCCACACCAAGACACATCATCATCAAAATGCAAAAGGTTCAAGACAAAGAGAGAATCTTAAAAGCAGCAAGACAAAGGCAGCTAGTTTCCTACAAGGGAGTTCCCATAAGGGTGTCAGCTGATTTCTCAAAAGAAACTTTGCAGGCCAGGAGGGAGTGGCAAGAAATATTCACAGTGATGAAAAGCAAGACCATACAACCAAAATTACTCTGTCCTGCAAAGCTGTCATTTAGAATCGATGGCTATATAAAGAGTTTCTCAGACAAGAAAAAGTTAAAGGAGTTCATCACCACCAAACCGTTATTATATGAAATGAAGGGTCTTTTTGAAGTAAAAGATAAATTATATGAAGAAACAAAATGGCAATGAATACATATCTATCAACAATGGAATCTACAATCAAAATGAACAGGTAGAACAGAAACATTCTCATAGATACAGAGAACATTTTGTTGGTTGCCAGATGGGAGGGGGGTTGGGGGAATGGGTGAAAAAGGTGAAGGGATTAAGAAGTACAAATTCATTGCTAGACTGACAAACCTCAAAGGAAAAGGGGTTGGGGGGTGGGGTGGGAAGAAATAAACCAAAGAACTTATATGCATAACCAATGGACACAGACAATAGTGTGGGAAAAGGCGGGAGGGTGGCGGAAGGGGGAAGGAGGAGGTCAATGGGGGAAAAATGAGGAACATCTGTAATACATTCTCCATTCAACAATAAAGATTTAAAAAAATAAAAAAATAAAAGAAATGCTCAACATCACTAAGCATCAGAGAGATGCAAATTAAAACAATTATGAGGTATCATCTCACACCTGTCAGAATGGCCGCCATCAACAAATTATCAAACAACAAGTGTTGGCAAGGGTGTGGAGAAAAGGGGACTCTTATACACTGCTGGTGGGAATGCAGACTGGTGCAGCCACTATTGAAAACAATATAGTATTACCTCAAATAATTAAAAATTGAATTGCCATTTGATCCCACTCCTAGGAATATACCCCCTAAAAAGCCTGAAACACCAATCAGAAAGAATATATGTACTCTCATGTTCATAGCAGCACTAGTTACAATAGCTAAGATCTGGAAACAGTCCATGTGTCCATCAGTAGACGAATGGATAACAAAGTTGTGGTATATACACACAATGGAGTACTATGCAGCTGTAAGAAAGATAGATCTCTTTGCCTTTGAGACGACATGGAGGGACCTAGAAAGTATTATCCTAAGTGAAACAAGCCAAGCAGAGAGAGACAAATATCACATGATCTCACTTATTTGTGGAATATAATGAACATAACAGTCTGAGGAATAGGGTAGACCCAGAGACATGGAAGTAGGGTACAGACTGACAACCCCCAGAAGAAGGGGTCGTGGGGGGAGGGAAGAGATAAACCAAAGAACTCAGCCCTGGCCGGTTTGGCTCAGCGGTGAGAGCGTCGACCTGCGGTCCTGAGAGACCCGGGTTTGGTTCCCGCTAAGGGCACGTACCTCTGTTGCAGTTTGTCCCCGGCCCTGGTCGGTTGTGCGGGTGGCAGCCACTCGATGTGTTCCTTTCACATCGATGTTTCTCTCTCTCTCTCTCCCTCCCACTCTACCTGAACAAAAAAAAAAAAAAAAATGGAAAAATGTCCTCGGGTGAGGATTAAAAAAACCCCACAGAACTCATATGCATGTACACATAACCGATTGACACGGACAACAGAGCCTGGTACGGGGTGGGGGTATGTGGAGGAAGTGTCAAAGGGGAAAAAAAGGAGCAACATCTGTAACAAAAATAAATTAATAAATTGATTAAGAGCCAAAAAAAAGAAAAAGAAAATTAAAATATTTTTCTTTCCCTGTATGTGTATTACTTTTTGAAATTGCTACTAGGACATAGATACTTGAGTTGTTTAGAACTAGCTACTTAATAAACAGAACTCTTGGTATTTCTTTTTGTCCTTACCCGAGGACATTTTTTCATTTTTTGTTTAGACAGAGCAGGAGGGAGAGATAGGAAGAGAGAGAAAGAGAGAGAGAAACATCGATGTGAAAGGGACACATCGAGTGGCCGCCACCCGCACGACCCGACCAGGCTGGGGACAAACTGCACCCGAGATACATGCCCCCAGCGGGATCCTAACCCGGGTCTCTCTGGACCGTAGGCCGATGCTCTAATCGCTGAGCCAAACTGGCCAGGGTGGTACTCTTGGTATTTCTTTTAACATAGAGGTTAATTATGGAGACACTAAGGCCAGAGTGAACCAAGAAATATAAGAGAGATTTGGTTAAAGACTTCACATGCTATGTATGTGGTAGACACTGCTGGCTGATTAATCCAACATCTATTCCCATCCTCGTTCTTTTGCCCATTTCTGCCATGAAGGCTCGGAAAAGCCTAAGGTAGCTATGTGATATAATTATGGCCAATTAGATGTAAGCGGAAGATAGCTGAAGCAGGTAGTAGGTGGAGTTGCTTTTAAGAGAAATTTTGCCTTCCTAACCTCTCCACCACCAAAAAAAATTTTTTTAAAGGTATGACCTGTTTCCTTCTTTCTTCTTGATTCAAATGCAGAAGTAAGGTTTGGAGCATAGGAGCTACCTGTGATCTTGTGAAGGAAAGGCCAAATGAATGCTAGTAACAGCTTACCTCTGGACTTCTTGCCATCTGAGAAAATAATCCTATTTGTTTAAGCCACAATAAATTGGATTTTCTGTTAGTTTCAGTCAAAAGCATTTCCAATGACACAGACTTTAAACTTAATCCTGTGGACAGGATTCATTAAAGAGTCACTAAAGGGTTCAGAAAGAGACTTTTGTCTATTGTTGTGTATCTAACATGTAGAACAGTGTCTGTCCTATAGTAGGTACTAAGTAAGTACTTGTTGAATGAATAAACTGAATTGGAAGGAATAAAATAACATGAACAATAAAATCAGGTCAGAGAATAGAGCAAAGTCCAGAGGAACACAGGGGCTAAAACTAAGTAAAGATAGAGAAAACTAAATCAAGGGATAAAATAAATATCCCAGGAGCCTTTCTAGTTACACAGAAATCCTTGGATCACATAGATATCGTTGCATGTTTTAACAATATTTGACCTATAGCATGCATTCACTAAACATATCTGTATATTAAAAATGTTAAAATAAGAAGAAGAAAAAAAGAGGACTCACCAGGATATTGTTTTGCTGTTAACTCTAGTTTATGAGACAGCAGCATAGCTCCAGTGGTGTTATCTATTGTATAAACCTGTACAGAACCACTGTAAAACACAAACAAACTTTTAGTGAAAAAAGATAAATACAAATATAAAAAGCATTTTATGGGAACTCTTATGTAGGAATGTAAACTAGAACAAAACAATTGCGTAAATAAATTGTAGTCATCTCATAAATTTAAATACATACTATGTGATCTAGCAATTTCACCTCTAGCTATATCCCAAAATATTCTTGTAATGTATAATATCCATTATAGTATTCTGTAAGTGCAAAAAATAAAAATCTAAATGTTCAGCAATAAGAGAAAGAAAAAATGAACTGTGGTATAATCATATAGTAACATACCATATAGCATTAAAAATAAATCAAATTTAGCCTGGCTGGTGTGGCTCAGTGGTTGAGCATCAACCCATGCACCAAGAAGTCGCTGGTTCAATTCCTGGTCAGGGCACATGCCTGGGTTGTGGGTCCAATCCCCAGAGAGGGACATGCAGAAGGCCGCCAACTGATGTTCTCTCTTCGATGTTTCTCTCTCTTTCCCCCTCCCCCTTCCTTTCTCTCTCTAAAATCAATAAAGAAATATTTTATAAAATTAATGAAATTTAGTTACATGCATTAAAATAGATAGCATAGATATATAGTATAATTCTGTTGCTACACAGTAAAAAGCATTAAAATCAGAGTAAATATATTGGTGGTAAAAATGCAACAAAGACCTAGTGCATGCTATTTGCAGATTAATGACTGCGCTGGTGAAGAAAGGGATGTGAAGAAAGGGGTAAAAAGAAGGGGGCGAGCAGGGGCTTCGTCAGCACTGGTAATATGCTATTTCTCACGTTAGATGGTAATTTATAAATATTTTAATTTTATTATTTTTATATAACATTCCTTTTTAAATCTATACACATGATACATGTTCTTTTGTGTATGTGGTATATGTAATTATTTCATTTAAAACATCTTGCCCTGGCCGGTTTGGCTCAGCGGTTAGAGCATTGGCCTGAGGTCTGAAGAAACCTGGGTTCCATTCCCGCTAAGGGCATGTACCTCGGTTACAGTTTGTCCCCGGCCCTGGTTGGGTCGTGCGGGTGGCAGCCACTCGATGTGTCCCTTTCACATCGATGTTTCTCTCTCTCTCTCCTTCCCACTCTATCTGAACAAAAAATAAAAAAATGTCCTCGGGTGAGGATAAAAACCAAAAACAATAAAACATCTTTACAAGGGTCAAATTTATGAAGGGCAAGAAAGCAAAACAAAATGTGTATTACTTCTAAAGTACATTTCAAAACTAAACTTAAAGAACATTAAAATTTCTGCTTATGAAGTTTTCAGGTAAAAAATTTAACACAAATATTATTTGTAAAATATTTTAACTCCAAGGCTGCTTTTGCACACCTCAGGATGACACTGGCTCAGGACCACCAGAATATTTTGACACTTATGCATGCTCCTCTGGTAGGAGTCAGCAGGTTTCCCCACAGTGGCTCTGATCCATTTCTAGCCAGGTCCAACTCTTCTCAAGGGTTAGGAACAGAACAAAATAAAATACCTGCAATAATAGGCCACCTGACATTACCCCACAGCTCACTAATGCTCTGTTTTTAACCTTTTTCTCTCCGTGTTTTATTTTGATTAATTCCTCTTGCCATATTCTTCAAGTTAATCTTTTCTTTACATCTCCAATGTTTCAGTTTACTACTCAAAAGGGACCCTCTACAGATCTCTAGAGTTCTCTCTTCGTGCCACTCCCTCTTTGGTGTCTTCCCATGAGCCTTCACTGCTTTGGTCTCCCCAGACTCCCATTTTCAAGTACTCAACTCAGAAAATCTGCCAGGCTCTATCTTCCAACCTCATGCTATGCCATGGAAACTCTCTCAAAGTAATTAAAGCTGGAACATATGTAGAGTTTTTGTATTTTGTTTCTTATCTTTCAGAGATCACTGTTTTTAGCTGCCTGATGTTCTAATTCTTGAATTCAAAACACCTGTTTCATATTTTTGTCTACTCTCGTTTTATTTTCTGATGTGTTACTCCATCTTAGTCAGAAGCCAAATGCCTAGAACATATCATTTCTGACTACCTGCCCAACCAAACACCTGGCTGAAAGACACTAAGTGTCTAGCAGGTTTTTGTTTTACATTTGACAAACTGTCAAGTACTAACTCTTAGTGGCTGAGCTCTAACAAGTCAGTGAGGAATCCAATATAAGTAGGAGCTAAGTCAACACTTACAAATATTCTATAGTGCCTATACTCTTTAAATTATTTTTCTTTCTATTTCTCAGCCCACTGTAAGAGAAAATTTCTTCATTAAAAGATACCACTTACTAATCTCAAAGCAAAAAAACATATCTCTATAATAGAGACATGGAAATTATCATCATAAGTGATCAAATTTAGCTGCATTAATACTGGGACAACTCGACATTACTGCTACATAATGCCATAGAAAATACACGGTATCATATATGGCCAAAATGTTTAAGCGGAACCTTTAGGTGACTAAAGAGAGATAATAACCAAATATAATTCATGAATTTGATTGATTGTGGTTGGAACAAAGTAGCTATAGAAGAAATTTTGGTTAATTTCCACATGAACTGAGTATCAGATTTTAGTGGGGATCTATCATTAATTTTCTCATGTGAGATCAAGGTATTGGGTTTTTATGAAAGAATGTCTCTTTTGCCCAGCTGGTATGGCTCACTGGTTGAGCACTGTCCCATGCAACAAAAGGTCACTGGTTTGATTCCTGGTCAGGGCACATGCCCGGGTTGTGGGCCCAGTCTCCAGTGTGGGGCGTGCAGGAGGCAGCCAATCAATGTTCTCTCTCATTCATGTCTCTCTCTCTCCCCCTTCCTCTCTCTAAAATCAATAAAGAAAAAATAATTGAAAAAAAAAAAAAGAATGTCTCTTTTTTTTGGAAACCAAGAAATCATGTAAATCGGATAAATTATGGTATATTCATAAACTGGAACACTATTTATAAATCAATCAAAAACTATTTCAGCTACTGGCAAAGACCAGTATTTATAAATCAATCAAAAACTATTTCAGCTAATGGCAAAGACCATGGATACATTTCACAATGTTGAGTGAAAGGAGCAAGATAGATACATAACATAGAATATGACTCTATTCATATAAAATTCACTTGATTTTGCTCTTTAAGAACACATACATGAGTGGTAAAACTACAAAGACAAGAAAATGATTATCACAAAACAGAAAATTGGTTACCTCTGAGTGAACTGGGAAAGGATGGAAGTTATGATTAGGATGTGGCAAGGGTACAATTTATATTGGCTGGCAATGTTTTATTTCTTGACCCAATTGTGAATAGATGTGTGTTTGTATTAAAATTATTTGTAAAATATGCACTTTCCTGTATGTTTTTACTTACAATATGAAAGTTAAAAAGGATATTATAAACTTTATGCCCATAAATTTGACAATGTATATGCAAAAAACCAGTTCCTAGAAAAATATAAATCGCCAAAATCTCTTAGGAAAAGACAGAAAATCTGAATCTTCTTAAATCTATTCTTAAAACTGAATTAAACCAGTAATACAAAAAAATTCCCATTGAGATAATTCTAGGCTCAGATGGGTTCACTGACAAATCTGACCACACATTCAAAGATGAACAAAGAAGATAAAGAGAGGAACAAACCATTCCTCAACAAGGAGAGTTAGAAACCAAGAGAATAAGAAAAATTACAGGCAAATGTACTCATGAACAAAGATTTTATTTTATTTATTTTTTTATCCTCACCCGAGGACACTGTTCCATTTTTTGCACAGATAGAGTGGGAGGGAGAGAGAGGAAGAGAGAGAGAGAGGGAAACATCGATGTGAAAGGGACACATCGAGTGGCTGTCACCCGCACGACCAACCAGGGCCGGGGACAAACTGCAACCGAGGTACGTGCCCTTAGCGGGAACCGAACCTGGGTCTCTCTGGACCGCAGGCGAATGCTCTAACCGCTGAGCCAAACCGGCCAGGGCATGAACAAAGATTTTAAAATTCTAAATAAAACGTGACCAAATCAAATCCATGAAAATGGAAAAAAAATGCTTTTTCTTCTTTCTTGTACGAAGCTAAATTTACTTCTACACTTACCTCCCCAGTAAAGAAGCAGTATGATGAGGATGAAGATTCCTCACTTTACAAAGAGATTATTGAATGTAATGAAAGTGGTGATTTATACATATTATTTATAATAAAAAGATACTTTGACACTTATAGCTGGAGATTATACTAGATATATGTTCTACAGAAGCACTAAGTCTTGACCGGTGGGTGTGGCTCAGTGGTTGAGTGTCAACCTATGCATCAAGAGGTCGCCAATTTGATTCCTGGTTAAGGCACATGCCTGGGTTTTGGGCTTGATCCCCAGTGGGGGGGTGGGGGGGGGTGCAGGAGGCAGCTGATTGATGGCTCTTTCTCACATGGGTGTTTCTATCTCTTTCTCCATCTCCCTTCCCCTTTCTCTAAAAATAAAAATATACTTCTTAAAAAAAGAAAAAAACACTAAGTCTCACTTTTAGGGTAAAATGGAATTTTATATTTAAGAAAGTTTTGAAGACCAAAGAGCACTATACATACTGTAAGGCATTACTGTAACTATCTGATACAGGCAGGGTGGGGTAAATGTAGGTTTACAGTTGTTTATATGGAAAATAATAAAAGTTAATAAGTAATACAAATAAATGGTGTTTAGAATACTCACAATTGTAAACCTACTTTTGCCCCACCCTGTATAATCTTTTTACTTGAGCCAAATTATAAGCTTGACAGTCAGATTTCTTCGCTGTTTTCAAATATATCCCAAGTGCTTATGCCTGGTACACACAGATATTTGTTGAATAACTGTATTCTATTTTACTTCTAAAACATGCATTATTTGAATTAAAGCAAGAAACTGATTTTATGGATGAGCTTTAAATTTGTTACTTAACTAAAGCACACCCACTGATTCAAAGACAATGTCAACACTGATGTCTTAAAAAGAAAATATCTTCCTAATCCTGTTAAACAATAAAGACCCTAAATTTTAACTGATTTAATTTTTTAAACTTGTAACTTAATTTCCTACCACTGAAAAGCTCACTTTTACAAATTAAGATAATTTAAAATCTGCCTTTTAGATTTGTTTCAATCTAATAAAATACTGTTAGATTAAAAAAAAATGTTTTTATTGATTTTTTAGAGAGAGGGGAAGGGAAAGTGGGATAGAAACATTGCTGAGAGAGAGAAACATGGATCCGCTGCCTCCTGCACACCCCCTACTGGGGATCGAGACTGCAACCGGGCATGTACCCTGACCAGGAATCGAACTGGGACCTCTCAGTCCATGCATGGGACGACCGACGCTCAATCCACTGAGCCACACCAGCTGGGCAAAATACTGTTAGATGTTATATTAAGCTGATTCATAAATTACAATGCAATGACAAAGTTTACAAGTGTATTAGAAACATCTAATTTTTTTTTTTTAAAAACCCATTATTTTTGGCAATAGCACTTAAAATGCAGCAGTCTGTATCAATTACCTCGCACAGCCAAACGCCATTAGTCGATACTTGTTATTTACTGCCACACAAGTTCCGTCAATGACATCTTGTGGCCAAACTCCATGAAGCTGCTATAATAAAGACAAACAGGGTTTAAAAAGTGTTCTCCAAAATATGCTCAAATCGATACAATTCTCCTTCAATAAACATACAGTTTCATAAGGCTTTATCTTATTTGGTTTCAACTAGATAGAAAAATATTCCATCAGGACTACTATCTTAATTTTCTCCCTTAAAACATCAATTTCATTAATTATTTCAATAAATATTTCCCAAATGTGCTCAGTCCAGTGCTGACCTATATATAAAACACTAAAAAATGGACATTCGATTGCCAAATTCAAGTTAAATAAAGATAACTTTCCTGTTAGGACATAAACCTCTTGATAGCACAAACTGCATCTACCTTGCTCACTATAATTATTCTCGTGGTCACCTAGCACATAGTGCTCAACTTCCCAATCAGTGGGAAACAATACATTTTATTTGGTATATTCTTTTTTTTTTTTTTAATCCTCACCCGAGGATATTTTTCTATTTATCTTCAGATAGAATAGGAGGGAGAGAGAGGGAGAGAGAGAGAAGGATCAATGTGAGAGGGACACATCGACTGGCTGCCTCCCGCATGACCCCGACCAGGGCCAGGGATGAACTGCAACTGAGGTACCTGCCCTTGGATGGAATCAAATCCAAGATTCTTTGATCCACGGGCCAACGCTCTACTGCTGAGCCAAACCGGCCAGGGCGGTATATTCTTCTCTAAAAAATATTATTTTGTGCCCTGGCCGGTTTGGCTCAGTGGATAGAGCATCCACCCTGGAACCAATGAGTCATGGGTTCAATTCTGGTCAAGGGCACGTACCTCGGTTGCGGTTCGTCCCTGGCCCTGGTCGGGGTCATGCGGGAGGCAACCAGTCGATGTGTCCCTCTCACATCGATGCTTTCTTCTCTCACCCTCCCTCCCACTCTATCTGAAGATAACAGAAAAACATCCTCGGGTGAGGATTAAAAAAAAAAAAAAAATTTTGTATTAGTTTCAGGTGTATAGTATAGTGGTTAGACAATCACATACTTTACAAAGTGTTCCCCCCCTGATATTTCCAGTACACATCTGGCACTATAAATAGTTATTACAATATTATTAACTATATTTCCTATGCTGTACTTTACATCCATCCCGTTATTTGGTATATTCTTAGAAAGAATTCACGATTTATCAATTGCTTACTATTCTCTATTACTCCCTTACTTTACAGTATGATGGTTAATAGCATGATATCTGGCAGCCTGATATCTCAGGTCTACCACTCACTTTCTGAAATGATTATTTCACCTTTCCAAGCTTCAGTTTTCTTATCTGTAAATTACTTCTCTCTCAGAGTGTTTTGCAGATTAAATGAGAATGTACATACATGTAAACCACTTAATACAAAGCCTAGCATTCAACAAATTAAGCATTCAATAAATGAATGACATTATTATTAAACTTATATGCTATTTTATTTTGAATATGGATATAGAATAGACTCAGCTCCACTGTCGGCTTTTGTCAAATCAAGGCCATCTTAGATTATAAATCTTAAGGCAAAGCTTATCATGACAGTTTAGTAAGCACAGAAAAATAGCACACTCCATATATACTTTATTTTTAGACGATCCCAATAGTAAACATAGAAGATCCAATTACAACTTTTTGAAATATAATACTGCCAACTTTATTTAATCACCAACTATCTAAACATGGAATATTTGCTTTTTTGTAGAAATTTTATTTTTTAATTTTAATAATAAAACTGGCATTATTTTAGGTTACAAAAAACAGTAAAGATAGCATAAAGCACTATTTCATTGGTTGACTGCTTAGATTGAAATTAATTCCTGTAACAAGTACTTTTCATTTGCCCACTCTCCACCGGGCACTACTCTAAGTGCTGAAGAAATGGCAGACATTCAAACACACCCAAATCCCTACCTGTATTCCTGCCTTACATTTGTTAGGAGGCTGACAAGTTAAAACACTTATCCAGTATGTGGGCAGTTGGCAATGCTACAGAAAAATATAATAAAGCAATTATGGGGAAAAGGGAGTATGGGAAAAGGATGTAACATTAAATGATTTTCCCTGTGAACATATGTTTTGAGGAAAGTACTGAAGAGATATATCAAGTACAAAGGTCACACCAAAGACAGCATTTCTGGCATGTTCAAAGAATATCAAAGGGACCTGTGCAGAAGGAGTGGAATGAAGGAAGAAAACGTAGAAAATGAGGTAACAAATGTAATAGGAAGCCAGATTTATAGGGCTTTGAAAACCACTATGAAAACTTGGGCTTTTTCTTCCATTTATATATTGGCAATCATTGACGTGCTTTTATTTTTCAAGCTTTTCTATTATGAATTATAAATACATTAGAGAAAAATACATAAAATAAAAATATACATCTCAATAACACCACAAAGTAAACACTTTCATAATTACCACTCAGGCCAAGAATTATCAGTACCCAAAACTCCCCCGGGTCTTTCCTGATCAATATAACCTTACCCCTATCACAAAAGTAACCAACATCCAGACTTACATGCGATCCTTCCTTCTCTTCCTTTAAACCATTACCACTTAAACATGTATCCATACAAACTCTAATTCAGAACTGCCTATGTTTTTATTTCTCCTTTAAAATTACATAACATAGAATCATAGCACATATCCTCTTGTGTCCAGCTGCTTTCACCCAACAGGTCTGTGAGATCCATCCATGCTGCTGCACACGCCTTGTTTGTTCATGCTCACTGTAGCTTCAAACACTGGGCTAAGCTCATTGGGCCTCTGGCCTCCCTAGCCTGGTAATTCTTTACTGTCTAATTAGCTCTCCAAAACCTTTAAGCACATTTTTAAAATATTTTTTCTTCAGCTTTTCTAGCTGTCCTCAGCAGGTTTTGTCCTAATTATACACTCCTACTGAAGGGGTTCTCAGCAGAGAAATGGCCTAATATGACATATTTTAATTTATCTGTTAAATATATTAAACAGTGCCAAGCGAGTTTTTACAAAGGACTTAAATAATCTAATATAAAGATGCCACTAGTGTAATTTCCTAACTAGATATGTGTATTGTTTTCTTGTAATTTATATTTTCTATTTATAATATTTAATTAAGCCCATCTACTTCCCATTATATTTAACCCTTAGTTGACTAGAAAATATCTTTAACCAAATACCAATAAAAATTGATACTCAGAAAAGAGTCAATAATTTTTTCAGCTCTAGTATTTTTGTTTTCGGTAAAAACATTTAAATCCCAAACATAATTATAAATATATTTGTACCTTGTAAAAAAAAAATTAGGTTCTTCAAAAGCTTATTTTTATTCTTATTTACATGCTGACATGTTATTACAAATAGATTATTTAGTTCCTTACTATCTGAATAAAGTTGGTAATGAAAAATAAGTATTAGGAACAATAAAGCTGATACCATGTAGAAAAAATATACCCTCAAACCCTCCCCCCACAAAAAACTTTAAAAACCTTTCCAGTTAAAAAAAGCACACTGAAAATGAGTATTTAGCTTCTCTATTATAACAGAAAATATTTGTTTTCAAAAAGCATAAACTGGCAAGGACAAAGAATGGGAGATGAGGTAGTATTAGAAAATGCTGGAAGCTGGGAAATATAAGGATGGGCAGAATCCTTAACTGGCTATAAAGAATATTGGGTCCTGGCCGGTTTGGTTCAGCGGTTAGAACGTCGGCCTGCAGTCCAGAGAGACCCGGGTTCGGTTCCCACTGGGGGCACGTACCTCGGTTGCAGTTTGTCCCCAGCCCTGGTTGGTCATGCGGGTGGCAGCCACTCAATGTGTCCCTTTCACGTCGATGTTTCTCTCTCTCTCTCTTCCTCTTTCTCCTCCCACTCTATCTGAACAAAAAATGGAAAAAAATGTCCTCAGGTGAGGACAAAAAAAAAAAAAGAATATTGGGAAGCAGCAAAATTTACATTATAACAAGGCACACAAAAGGCTTGGGAAGTAAAATGTCTCTGGAAGGCTGAACTGAAAGCAGGATTGGTTCAAAGCCTATTTAAGAAGCAGCTGAGTCTTCCAGGAGTACCTCCCCAATTTGAGCTGCTAAGAAACACCCTAACTCTAACAGAGAAACGGAGCTTTATCCTTAAAGAAAAACAAACAAAGAACTCCAGTGGTCTCTGGGTCACAGTGAAAATAGGGATAAGTAAAAGTTTACATCCTGATTCTGGACCTTCTAGTCTAACTCTTCCATAACTCAAATCCTAGAATATTGGGTCAGCCAGGTACATATTTTCTGAAAAGGACTACAAGACTTGCCTCAAATGAACTTTGGTTACAGAGATGGGAAGAAAGGAAACAATCCAGTTAACACAGCATATAATAAAGATCATAACCAACCAAACCCCACAGAGCTTATCAATGAATCCAGAATTTTATTTTGGGTTTCTATCACAGCAACCAAATTCATAAATTAATCATATATGAATTAACCATTAAGTATGAAATAATTATATACACATAAAGGAATAAAGAAAATCCTCCAGATGATGATGGAGAACCTCGAAATACAACTGTGTTAAAGGTGTGTATAGTGAGCAAGCAGTCCAGATTGGAGCAGGCCAGAGGCTCCAAGAGAAATTTTTTCAAGAAGATGAAATGGACAGGACACCTATGCATTTGAAAGAACTGAGAGGAAATTTACACAGCCAACAGACAGGGGTTGAGTTAGTGATAAATACATAAAAACTAAGCAAATGTAAAGAACTAACAATTATTAATTCCATGTTGGAGGAAAAATCTGCAGGGGAAAAAAAAATCATAACATCTTACATAGGGCGGGGACTAATATAAGAATGCAAAGCAGTAACAATGTAAACAATGGATAGTAATCTAATCAAAACCAGAATAGCCATATTGGGAAGTACTGGCGGAACAAGGGAAAGGGAAGTACATGGTCATTTTCACAGTGGGAGGTATGTAAACACAGCCAAAAACTAAAAAGTAAAGGAAATATGCAGAGTAGTGAAGATAAATAGCAAAATAAACAGTAAAGAAATAAAACGCAATTGCCTACAAGAATGAAAATTGGGTGTGAAGAAAGCAGGAAAGCAGGAACTACTTTTTCTTCAGCATACTAATAGATAATTATTGGCCTACTTCATACATATAGTTTTGATTTTAAAAATTATTAACAACCTCTAAAATCATAAATAAAAAATGGGGAGGGATTCAGTAACAAAACTAAAATTAATCAATGCACAATAAAGAAAGTAAGTCATACCTCTGCAGTAAATCTACTGGACACTGGTGTAATAAATCCAACTTTACCATCATTAAACACCACAGCAAACCCATCAAGAGTGGCACAGTACTCCATGTCTCTGATGTGCACATCTGCAAAGCCCAGGAATGAACCTGCTGATGAAAAAATGAGCACATGAAATATGAATATAAATATAGTAAATAATCCCTCACATTTTTGCTTACAAACTCTGTAAGGACAGTTAAAAGGGCAAAAACAATGACCTAAAAACACTAAACAACACAACTACTTCCTTCCTACGCAGACACACACACCTCCTTTGCATAATTAAGTTCAAAGTACAAAAATCAATGTTCATCCATAGAAAATATAACTAGATTATATCAAATATTAAATATCTGATTCTACCCCATGCAGAAAGGATAACTACCTCTAGATGACTGCAGATCTACTGAGAAGGGTACTGTGCAAAGATTAATAGCTTTCCTTCCATTTGTCATTCCTTCCCAGTGAATAAGATGAAGAAGTCCATCAGAAGTAGCAACCAAGAGATCTTCCAGCACAGACTGCAAACTGTAGGGAAGCAAGCAATTTATTATCAGTTACCTTTTAAGAGAGCATACTGGGAAATAAATGAGTATGAATATAATTGCCCTAGAGAATATTCAGAGAAGATAATGAAACCACTTACAAAACTATCATTTATTTACAAAGTAGCTATAGAGTAGCTTTATTTATGTATAATTCAATCCAGAATCAGAAATGAAAGACTGGGAAGCCACAGTCACAAATTTGATGAACTGAGTTAAAAACTAGAAATACTGACACAACAAATTAGAAGATGGAATGATAAGTGACAGCTGACAAGAAAAGAGGCAGATAACCCATAAAAAGAATGATTAATGAAAAGAATGACAATTGGAGTCATTAAGTATAGAGTTACAATCCTCTAGCCCTGTCCAACAGAACTTTCACCAGTGATAAGAATGTTCTGTATTTGGCCCTGGCCGGTTTGGCTCAGCGGTCAGAGCATTGGCCTGTGATCCAGAGAGACCTGGCTTTGGTACCCGCTAAGGGCACATACCTTGGTTGCAGTTTGTCCCCGGCCCTGGCTGGGTTGTGCAGAGGGCAACCACTCGATGTGACCCTTTCACATCAATGTTTCTCTCTCTCTTCCTCCCACTCTATCTGAACAAAAAATGGAAAAATGTCCTCGGGTGAAGATACCAAAAAAAAAAAAAGCAAGCTCTGTATCTGTACTATCAAGCATAGTCGCCACTAGCCACACATAGTAATTGCACCTTTGAAATACGGGTAGTGTGACAGAAGAACTAAAGTTTAAATTTTGTTTACTTTTAACTAATTTAAATTTAAATAAGTTCATTCAATTAGTGGCTACTATAGTGGAGAGCATAGTTCTAGACCACTGTATTTCAAGGGTTATTATGAATCTCACACTGTTCATTCACAGAACAAAAATTAAGTCTATCCTCTGTGGCAGGTGCTATGCTCTCTGTTGAAGATTCCAACGTCAATAAAATAAGTTTCTCCCTTCAGAAGACCTCTCAGTTGATTAAGTATTGAAAAGTAATTATGTAGTATGATCTCAGCATTCATTGGTATTTGCAAAGAGATTTAACATTTAACATTTACTTACCTAATGGCAAATAAATGCCTACTTGGTTTGCTCTTATACACCCAGTCCCTAGGGTAGTACTAGTTATATCTGACATTAAATGTTTGTGGGAGGAAGAAAAAAAAGAGGAGAAAGGGGAAACCATAACTAAAATTGCAAAAGTACTGGGAGAGAAAGAAAAAGAAAACGGGAAAAAAACAGTGGAAATCGGTATCAAGAAAGCAAGGAAGTAAGATGGATTTAAAAAAGAGTACTCAAGGGACTTCCAGTCGACATGGCAATGTAGGTAACTGCGGTAACGCTTCCTCCCACAACCACATCAAAATTGCAACTAAAGTACAGTACAACCATCATTCAGAACCACCTGAAATCGAGCTGAATGAAAGTCCTACAACTATGAAATTAAAGCAGCAGCCACTTTGAGACTGGTAGGAGGGGCGGAGGCACAGACAAGCTAGTCGTACACCCACGTGTGGTGGATAAAAATTAGGAGGGTATCTTGGCTGGGAAGGTCATCCCTGAGGACACCAGGCACCCTGTCCCACACCAGGCACCCAGCTCAGGGTTCCAGTGCCAGGAAGAGAAATCCCTATAACTTCTGGCTGTAAACACCAGCAGGAACTGAGGCTGTGGGAGGTTGAGGCTGTTGGCATCCAAAGCTCCTCTTAAAGGGCCCTGGCATGAACTTGCTTGGAGGGGAGGCAGCTTGAAAGGCACCGGTAACATACAGGGAAGAACTGAGCTGTTTGGCTTTGGGACGAGGGCTGAAGAGGCAGCTTTCTCTCAGACAGACATACTAGCAGAGGCCTCTATTCCTTTGGTGAGCCCTTCCCCAGGGCAGCTCACAACTGCCATATATGGGACTCCAGTAACCTGGCTCACACCTGAGGCCCTGCCCCACCCAACTTTTGCATCCACCCAAGCTGTTTCCAGTGGCTTTACCATAGGATTGGCCTGTCTTGGATCCTGCTTTAGAGTTGCCTAAAATCTGTCAAACAAGCGGCATCTGGTCTCAGCAAGCCCCTTACCTCTTAGTAAGTGGACCCAGGCCTGGCACTAGAAGCATCCAGCCTTGGTTCACAATTTGGCTTTTCCTGGGCACCTCTAAGCCCAGCACAAGAAGCAAGCCATCTGCAGACAGCTTTGTAGCTTATGCCTGGTGGCCCCAGGTAGAACACAAGCAGTGGCTGACCTTGCCCCAGAGCCAGCACACCCAGTGGACAGCTTCAGACCACACCAAAACACCACCACCCAACCACCTCCACAAGTGACACACTCAATGAGTGGACTCAGTGGGTACCAGAGCCCTGCTGAAGAAAGTCTTGCTCTGTGTGGTGGGCCCCTACACAGCTGATCTGCCAAAGCAGTCAGAGGCCAGTGGTCAGTAGACACAGCCAGTCCTTGCAGCTGATCAGCCTGAGTAAATCCCTCCCATTGATGTGCCAACAGCAATCAAGACTCAATTACAACAGAAGGGTGTACAGTCCACACTAGGGGTGCACCTCTAGAGCCCAGCTGGCAGTGTAGGTAACTGTGGTGATCAGGGAGGCTGTGCCACTGGATCCCATAGGACACCAGCAACAATAGGCCACCCTACAAAGCCTAGGAGACATAGCAACTCTACCTAATACATAGAAACAAACACAGGGAACCAGCCAAAATGAGGAGACAAAGAAACATGTCCCAAATGAAAGAAAAGAAAAGAACTCCAGCCCTGGCCGGTTTGGCTCAGCGGTTAGAGCGTCGGCCTGCGGTCCGGAGAGACCCGGGTTCAGTTCCCGCTAAGGGCACGTACTTCGGTTGCAGTTTGTCCCCGGCCCTGGTTGGTCGTGCGGTGGCAGCCACTCGATGTGTCCCTTCACGTCGATGTTTCTCTCTCTCTCCCTTCCTCTCTCTCCCTCCCACTCTATCTGTACAAAAAAATGGAAAAATGTCCTCGGGTGAGGATTAAAAAAAAAAAAGAAAAGAAAAGAACTCCAGAAAAAGAACTAAACAAAATGTAGATAAGCAATCAATCAGATGCAGAGTTCAAAACACTGCTAATAAAGATGCTCAATGAATCTAGTGAGACCTTCAAGAAACTTAAGGAGAACGCCAAGAAACTTAGTGAGAAAATCAACAACATAAAATATAACCAGTAAGAAAGGAAGGATGCACTAATTGAAATAAAGAATAATTTACAGAGAAACAACAGTAGAGTAGGTAAAGCCAAGAAGCAAACCATTGATTTGGAATATAAGGAAGCAAAGAACACCCAATCAGAACAGCAAAAATAAAAAAGAATAAAAAAAACAAAAATGAGGATAGTGTAAGGAGCCTCTGGGACAACTTCAAGCATGCCAACATATGCATCACAGGGGTGCCAGAAGGAGAGGAGAGAGCACAAAAAACTAAAAACCTATTTGAAACAATAATGACAGAAAACTTCCCTAACTTGGTGAAGGAAACAGACAGACAAGTACAGAAAGCACAGAGAGTCCCAAACAAGATGAACCTCAAGAGGTCCACGCCAAGACACATCATCATCAAAATGCCAAAGGTTAAAAACAAAGAGAGAATCTTAAAAGCAGCAAGAGAAAAGCAGTTTGTTACCTACCATGGAGCTCCCATAAGGCTGTCAGTCAATTTCTCAAAAGAAACTTTGCAGGTCAAAAAGGAATGGCAAGAGGTATTCAAGGTAATGAAAAGCAACAATCTACAACCAAGATTACTGGATCCCGCAAAGCTATCATTTAGAATCGATGGACATATCAAAAGTTTCCCAAACAAGAAAAAGCTAAAGCAGTTTATCACCACCAAACCAGTATTACATGAAATGCTAAAGGGTCTTCTTGAAGGAGAACAAAAAAAAATATGAACAATAAAATGGCAATTAATAGATATCTATCAACAATTGAATCTTTTACAAACAAAATGAGCAAGCAGAACACAAACAAACTCATAGATACAGAGAACGTTTTGTTGCTTGCCAGATAGGCGGGGGCTAGGGGACTGGGTGAAAAAGATGAAGGAATTAAGAAGTACAAATTGGTTGTTAGACTGATGAACCTCAAAGGGAAGGGGAAGGGAGGGTGGAATGAGATAAACCAAAGAACTTCTGCACATATATGCATAAGCAATGGACACTGATAATAGGGGGGGGGGGGCACTGTGGAGGAGGGGGTCAATGGGGACAAAAGGTGGGGACATCTGTAATACATTCAACAATAAAGATAAATTAAAAAACAACAACAAATGGAAAAAAGTATCCTTGGGTGTGAATTTTAAAACAAAATTTTTTAAAAAAGAAAGAGTACTCAAGATAGGGAGGAGGTTGTCCGGGGGGGAAAAAGGAGAAACATCTGTAAAAATAAATTAATTAATTAAAAAGAGTATTCAAGAGTATCAAAGTAGAAAAAGGAATGATAAAATGTTACGTGTTTATAATATATACTTTAATATACACAATTAAAAAATGCCCTTTCACACTTAAAAAGTTGAGTGTAACTCATAAACATTTAAATCCAAAATGGAAAAAAAAATTTTAATTCTTAAACCTTCAGTTCTTTGGAAAATTGAGATCAATGATATGAGACAATAAAGAATTTACTGAAAATTCATGGACATGGACAACAGTGTGGTGATGGCAGGCAAGGGTGGGGGCATGGAGGCAGAAGAGGACATAGAGCGATAAATGGTGATGGAAAATAGAAAATAAAATGAATTTTTTGCATGTTAAATACAGGACTTTACTATATTTCCCCTCAAACTATAAAAATATTGAAAAAGAATATAACACGTCCCGTCACCCAGATCCATCTCTTGAACATCAGAGCATATGTAGTCAACTAAAATCCCATTTTAAAGTTCACTTTTTAAAGTATTATATATTCTTTTACTTCAAATTTATATTTTTGTGATACAATTTATATGTAGCAGGTGGTGAGCAGGATACAAAAACTTGTTTTATATCTGCTACTAAGTTTAAAAAGGCAAGTGAGTAGAGCACTCATTGTTTTACCAGTGATTTTCATTCAGCAGGAGCCAGCCGAGGTTTTTTTCAAACTATTTTATCCCTCTCCCCTGCTCCTATATTCCTAGAACCACTGCACATGACAAGGTTATCCTGCAATATCTTAACTGCCTGCTAGGCAAGACTCTTCTGACAAAGTTAACAGAATTCAGAATCTCTACATCATCATCACCTATAATGCTGTGACAAAAGATGACCACACATGTCAGCAAACAGGAAAATGTGACCAAGAGTCAAGAGAAAAATCGATCAGCAGGAATGGACACAGACGATCCTGATGTTGAAATCAAAAGATAATGACTTTAAAATAACTGTGATAATAATGATAAAAAATCTATATGAAAGAATAGATACAGCCTCCTCATTTCACTGACACTAAACAAAGGCTGATGTCAGTTGTTAAAGTTCTGAACAGTTCCATAAAAGTAAATCGGCCACTCAAGTGCCTGCCCACCACTGATTCTCTGCCTCACAAAAATCTAACTACTAAAGGATTAGTTCTTGTCATCTGGGGATATCAGGACCCAGTACCAATAATCAATATCCCATGTTTTTTCATGCTGTACTGTTTTTTAAATATGCTGAAAATTACCCCTAGGTATAAAAATACACACAAAAACACAAAAATATTCCTTATATCCTCAGAAAGCCTCTCCAATCATTGACTTCATGGGCTTTACAATAGCTATCTGGTATTCCAGAGGTTTTAAAAAATATATAATTCATAACTATTAATTATCAATCATGTAAATATATTTAATACCCAACTAGTATTACATACTATATAATACATAGGGTTTTCCTAAGTGCCTGGAACGCAGCAAGATATGAAATAAACTATGATATTTATTAGTATTATGTGGTATTAGTACTTTTTTACCTTTCTATCCTCAATTAATAACAAAGTTGGATGCTTAACATTAATCCTTTTTTTTTCAACACCAAATTAAAAGATGGCAGTCCTCTTGCTATTTTATGCCTATAAGCCACAGTGTAACCATTATCCATAACTTTATATGACTTATATTTTTGGTAGTGGGAGGAAAAATAGTTGGTTATAAAGCCCAAGTTTCACATCTTCTCATTCAGTCCAAAATCAAATAGGAAATCTCTAATATCCAGCAAGTATGTATTACAGGTGCTAATAATATTCCTCTGAAATGCAATTATTTTACTGACGCTTTGACAGAAACCATAAAGATTTTCAATTATCTAAATTTGTAAATTAAAATGTCCCACCTGACAAGTTAAACTAGTACAAGATGGCAGAAATGCTTTGTTTAAAGGCTCCTTTTGGCCCTGGCCGGTTTGGCTCAGCGGTTAGAGCGTCGGCCTGCGGTCCAGAGTGACCCGGGTTCGGTTCCCGCTAAGGGCATGTTCCTCGGTTGCAGTTTGTCCCTGGCCCTGGTTGGGTTGTGAGGGTGGCAACCACTCGATGTGTCCCTTCACATCGATGTTTCTCTCTCTCTCTCTCTCTCTCTCTCTCTCTCTCTCTCTCTCTCTCTCTCCCACTCTATCTGAACAAAATATCAAAAAAAATAATAAATAAATAAATAAAGGCTCCTTTTTGTATGCCCATCTCCATGAACCACACAGTTTTAACCACCAGGTGGAGGTAGAATATCATGCTTGTACAGTTCCACCTAGTTAGGTACTATCAGACATTCAAAATTTCTTATGCAACAGGTTACATTCTTGAAAAGAATCTATAAGCTGAAATAAAATATGAAGAGGAAATTTTTGACCAAGGTGATAATACGAAATCAATCTTTTGTAACCCTGATCACATTTAAGCAAACAAAAACAAAGCATTTGTTTTCTATGAATAGATTAAGCAAGGCAAGACAATAGTCAGTCACTTGCAAACAATTTCATTTAATATGTACCAGTATTTGTACTATATTCTAAAAAAATAGTGAAAAACCTTTTATTAGAATTGTGAATAAGAATTTTAAAAACATAGGTGTTATATTCTTATAGTTCAATATATTTATATATTACATCCATATAGTTCAATATTTAGTAAGAGTACCTAGTAAAAAGTCTTTTTACCAAAACTGTCCCTCAGCCACTCAGTTCTCATGCTCAATTTCTTATGTATTCTTCCAGAACAATACATAGTCTAACACCACCAGCTCCCTTTTAAAAACAAATAGTAGCATTATTATATATAGTATACCTTGCTTTTTCAACCAAAAACATATTTGGGAAGTTTTCTTCAGTGAAGAGTACCCTCACTGTTTTAACAGATGCATCTTATTCCTATTGTACAGATGTAAGAAGTTTAAACAGCTCCCTATTAATAGCTATTTAGGTGGTTTTCAACCGTTTACTACTGTAAGCAATGTATAATGAAAAACCCTGTGAGCATGTCATCTCCAATATGTATTATTATATTTGCAAGATTAATTTCTAAAAGTAAAATGCTAGGCAAAGTCATGAACATTTGTAACTTTGATAGATACTGCTTGATCAATTTTTATAGATATGGTATCTTTTTAAGTTTTTTAAAAACTTGATTTTAGAGAAAGAAAGGGAAAGGGAGAGAGAGAGGAAAGGAAGGAGGGACAGAGAGAGAGAGAGGAGAGAGAGAGAGAGAGAGAGAGCAAGAAACATTGATGTGAGAGAAACATCGATCAGCTGCCTCCCGTATGTACCCCAACTGTGGACTGAACCTGCAAGTGAGGTATATGCCCTGACAGGGAATGGAACCCTTGACCCTTCAATGCGATGACACTCCAACCAACCGAGCCACACCAGCCAGTGTGATATGGTATGAATTTATATTCCCAAAGTTCTCATGTCCCTATCCCCTCCCCAAGACAACATGTTATCTAACTGCTTATAATGAGTATCAGAGACATTTATTTAATGTCCTAATGGAAATCTATTAAGTACTATATTAACTGAAATATAAAAAATAAAACAAATTGTTTACATTTTCTGTCCCTTTGTTCTACTGTGTCTTTTTCTTGTTATAGAAACTATGTATTAGGAAAATTGGCTTTTTGTGATATTTACTATATTTGCTTGTTTTCAGTTTGTGCCTTTTATCTTACTTATGGTGTATTTATTTTTTTCCAGGCAGGTTTTTAAAAAACTTTCATATAACTGAATTGACAGTTTTCTTTCATAAGTTTACTTGCAGACATTTTGACAGGAAGGTTTCAGTGACTTCTAATAAAATATATTTTGAGTTAGAATACTTCTTTAACCAATTTCTCTCAATATTTTCTTCTAACAAGTCTGGGCAATACAGTTAAGAACTGCTGGCCATTTTGATGCATAGAATGTTGGAATACTACCATTATAATTTCATGATTGCACATGACTGGGCTCAATAACATCTAAAGGTTGTTGGGGGGGGTCCAACTTTAATCCTGGATTCAGCTAAAAATAACTGTTTAAAAAAATGAAAGAGCCCGGCCGGTATGGCTCAGTGGGTTATAGTGTCATCCCTTGCACTGAAAAGGTCACAGGTTCAATTCCCTGGTCAGAGCACATACCTGGGTTGTAGGTTCAATCCCAGCCCCGTTGGGGTGTGCCAGAGGCCATCAATCAATGTTGCTCTCTCACAAGTATCTCTCTGCCTCTCTCCCTTCCTCTTGCTCTAAAATCAATTGGGAAAAAAATTCCTCAGGTGAGAGTTAAAAATAATAATAATTATTATTATTGTAATAAAAAGCACACTTATGACAAGACCCCACATATCAGAGAACTAAAATGTCAAAATGTGAAGCAATTAAGGAAATAAAGCTAAATTATAGGTACAGTCATTTGTTTTTTCTACCAATGGATGTAAAATAACTTTGGGTATTTTGGTACTCTGGCCTTACTATAAAACCTTTATTGACATTTGGATCAGAAAGCTCAACTTTCTTCCAAATGTAAATATATTTCTCTAAAACTTATACAGGCTATAAAAATGAAGGCATTTTCTCTTTTTCTCAACTTGTGTAATTATTATCAGCATCTTTTTTAAGTAACAAGGACTATGTCATATCATTCAAACAATTCTAGATCTTACAAAAAATATAAACTTCTGAAATAATAATATAGTTGGTATATCCAATTTATGGGCTTCATTACAATTTAAGTACACTAATGTATTATCTATAAATTCTCACATTTTTTTATAAGGGTTAATCAAGCATTTCTCATGCTAAAAAAGTTATCCTCAAAGAAAAAAAATGAAATCAACCTTCTTATTGGTCATATGATTAATCAACTACATTGCCTACTGTCATCACAAATTACTATATTTAACCAAAGTACTGTACCTCATTATGGGTGCTTGCAAATCTAATATTTTCTTCATCTCCAAAGTTAATGCTGGAGCACACTGTTCTTCCTTAAAATGGGGTGTCCCCTTCATTTGTGGACTTCCTCTAAAAAAATAGCAAACATACGGGATTAAAGAAAAAGAAATTGTATTCTCATTCACTCTGTGACTAATATACATCCAATTAAATAAACTTAATCAGACTTATAAATCAGGTGTTTATCCTTTAGGTTCTCCGATGAAAAACAGACCTAAATTCCATTATACCAGACATATCTGTTTATCAATTAGAAATAAATGTGTTTGACCAATGTAATTTGTGTTGGAGAGGTGGGAGTAAAGGGAGAATAGCAAAGAATCATAGGTGAAAAAAACACACGAGATAAAAGTGAACTCTCAAAAGAACCAACAGACATTTTGTTTAAATTGACTGACAGCTCTTTCTGAGATGGGCAACTATGGAAGATATACATCATTCTAATTGTGTTATGTCCAAAGTGATCTAAATAAATCCTCACCTCATCTTACCTTACTCTGTACCTCATTCTTTATTTCTATCCTTTGGGTATGTATCAGAATTAGGTCAGATTCAGAGACACAATTAGACATTTCACATGAAACTTGGTAATAAATAGCAAAATAGCTAAATTTGAAAACTCCATGACATTAAATGAGTGGCTAGGTCAGTCTTAACATAACTAAGCTGTATCATGCAACCATTCACAGGGACTATAAAGCTGTCCTGGAATCTTTATCTCCACATGGCATAGGACTATCTTTCTCAATGCCTGTGCTGGAATTTAATAGCTATCTGTCTCTTCTTATTATCCGCCCTCACTTACTCTTGGCAATAATTAGCCTGCCTAAGTCATCTCTCCCTCTCCAGTCACCTATAACCCTGGAAATCAATTTGTCAATACTATTAAAATTATGTGCAAAGAATCTAACGATCAACAGCTTTCAAGATACTTTGTGAAAATTATTTTGATGCTCAGAAAGCTTTCTGCTTACTTTCTAGTTTTAGATAATTTTCCATATAGAAGCTTGGTGGCAATCTAGTGACTGATGTGTTTGGTTTAGGTCTGGGAAATTTACATTTATTTCTTTAATATAATAATGAGGTTCTCCAATTCTGTTTTCTCTCACTGAAACTCCTATTAAGTTAGATACTGAGGGGAAAATCAACTTCTCCTTTTCTCTTGTACTTTGTCTTTTGTTCTATATCCTGAGAGAGTTCCTGAACTGTTTTTCCAGTGCTTTTATTTCTGCTTATCGTACTTTTTATTCCAGAACTTTCTCACTCACCTCCCTTTTTCTTATAGCATCCATGGCTTTTTATTGTTTTAATTAGATAGTATCTGTCTGAAGTTGTTAATCATCATTTCCTCAGTGTTTTTGTTTCCTGCATTGCCTATTTTCTTTGAGTTTCCTTTTTTCTGTTATGTCACTCTTTTACATTGGAGACTTTCCTAAAATGGCTGATAATCCTTGGCCATTCACATTTAACAAGTTAACAAGAACAAGCTAATTATAAACTCTTTATGTTCAAGCTGGGTTTGTCAACTGGTGAACTTCAGGGTAATGACCAGTTGTCATTTTTGTTAAGGTATTCAAATTATGAGTGCCCTCTGGGTCATTTTCTGGAGTGGTTTAATCTCCCAGGGAAGGATCCCTCAATCCTGCCTGGGATATCTGTGCACAGAATCCAGAAGTCTGAAGCCAAGCAGAGGAAAACGGCTTGTCGTACTTCTGTTCAGTATTACAACTTTCACTCAACCCCCATCTTCAGTTTAGCAGCTCATCCTTGTTCTACAATGTGGAAATGCCTCTGGTTTAATCAGACAATACATTATCTGTATCCTGTGATGTAGGAACAAGAAATCCTTATTCCTCATTTAGATTTTTAAAATAATCTTCCTTTTTATGGCTGCTGGCTCACTCCTATATTCCGTGATACTAGTGCAACTAATGCTGTGTCTTCCCAGGGTTTTACAGTTCAAACATGCTGCTTTTCATCTGTACTAGGGATTGATATTCTTCCTAAGTCATTCTTTCTCATCCAATTTTTAGCTCAAGGGTTAGAGATACTACCAGCTTTCATTAAAAATGGAAATAGTATTTCAACTTTTTGTTCTGTTGGCTATTTTCTCTGTACTGCAGGCCGACACTCTAACCGTTGAGCCAAACTGGCCAGGGCTCTGTTGGCTATTTTCAAGAAAAGAGATGAAAACCCTCTATTTCACTTATCTAAATACTCTCATTTATTAGAGCAAAAGTATTATAAGAATTTTAAAGCAAATTTAGGTAGATCCTGACTTTTCAATTTTAGAAAAGTAATAGCATGTTTGGGTTGGTTACAGGAAATGAGTTAGGTTTAGATACGATGAATCTGATGTTACCTATAGGGACATCTAATTGGATATATCCTGCAAGGCAGGCCTGAAGCTTAAGAAAGTGGTACTACAGTAAGGAAATAGTGTATGTGGAGCTCATCCACATAAACTGAATAATTAAAATGTAAACTAGAACACAGAACAAACCCCTAAGGAACACTAGAGCATAATTTAGGTACTAGATAGTAATCCAAGGTTTTGATTTAAACCTAATGAATGACATTTTCATGAAGTAGATGGCATTAACTCTATTTTTCAGATGAGTAAAATAAAAGAAAGCAACATGATTAATCTTGAAAGCTAAGGAAAGCCACTAAAAAAATTTTATGTAGAGAAATGGCCTATATATTTTACGTTAGAAAATTCATTTAGGAGAAACCTATAAAGATGGTTTAAGAAGACATTATAACAATCCAGGAGGAAAGTGGCAAAACTCAAACTAAAGTCCTAAAACTTCGATATCACAGACTAATTCAGGTGAGGGGCTGTCCGTTAAAGCCAAAAGTCTATTATATAATAAAGTAAGTTTTCCAAATATGTATGTTAAAAAACTGACAAATTAGTTAACCTGTTTTTACTTATCTAGACACATTTGTAATTAAAATTATGTATGAAAAGTTAAATTTCCCAGAAAAGTTTTCTCTATGTATTACTGTAACTTTAAATTTATACTAAGTCTAGTAAATTCATGCATTCACCAGTCACTTCAAATAAACAGATGCACACTGCTTGGGATGGTTTAGGGCATGTTAAAAGTGCTACAGAAAGTCATCCCATGGGATAACAGCCAATTATCAATGCTGTGTGAGCACAAGCTAATCATCTGTGAACGCTGTTTACAAGTGGTGACTCTTGGATCTAAACATGTAGACTCTAGCTGTAAATATGTATTATTTATTTATGTCAGCAAAATCACTACAGTGTTTTTTTCCAACATACGGCCTTTTTGCTAAAATTTGTTAAAAATAGCAGTGAATTAATAACAACAAAATAACCTGTTAGTTTAATTATAAGCAAATCTTGGTTAAAAGCATTTTAAAATTAACAGGATGTTAATTTTCACAGATGATGTATGGAACGGAAATTTTGTTGGTTAAATCTGAAGTCTGTTAAATTGAGGTCCACAAAGTCGAGGGCTTACTATTGGGTTGCTAGAAGAGGGACAAGGCATGAGGGATACATCCAAGGTAGAATGCACAGAACCTACAGAAGGTAGAATAGAAGGGACCCGCTACACTGGCTATTAGGTAGAGCCAAATAAACTCAAGTGAATGGTGGTGTCACTTACAGAAAAAGGAAATTGGCCATAATAAGCTTTGCCAGGATTGAGCTACTTAAAAATAAGATTTAAAAAAAAATTTTACACTTAACAAAAAATTTCTCCATTCTGACTTTTCAACTATAAGTTAATAGATAGGACCTAAAATTTATTACAATAATATCTTAACTTTCTTGCCTGTTAAATCTCACCAATCCAGAATGATCTTCCCCTGGGTATATATTTTATTCCCTCATCCCAGATCTTTTTGAATGTTATCATCTCAGCAAAGACCCTGACCACTCTATTTCGAGTTGTCCCCCCAGTCTCTATTCCCATTACCTGCTTTATTTTTCTCCACAGAATGTATCTCCTAATTTGTAATGTATATTACTTATTTATCTGTCTACTAGAAGAACAGCTCTCTGCGTAGAGTTTTTATTTTTTCCTTTGTCCACTGCTGCATCCCCAGTATCCACAACAGTCACAGAGCTTGAAAAAACTTCAATACTTAAATGGAGAGAGATGGATAGATGAAAATAATTTTTCAGAAGGGTTTTCTGAAATAGGTGGTACCCTTATCACCAGGGCTTTATATATATGTTTGTTTGTTTTCAAAGCTTTTTGTTTATAATCACACATCCAGACAGTCTTCAGTCTGATAAGAACAATGCTCTCTGAATTGGACAGATCCTTGAACACTTCTATAATTCTTTGGATTTAGGTGCCAGTCTCAAAACTATGGTCAACAGGGGAGTAGTTTCATTGCCCAGATTTTATATAAGAACATTCTTAACAATCTTATTAGTAAGTGCTCATGCAATTATGATGTGAGTTAACAGATATATAAAATATACAAATTTCAATAGCTAAAGGCTACATATGTACATTTACAGAATACATACATATTGAAATCAAAGTACATATGTGATGTTTTTAGAAGAACAAGAAAATAAAGAAAAGCAGTTAGTTTCTTCTCCAGACAATTAATACTCAAAACCTACTAGCAAAAAAAAAAAAAGTTGAGGGAAACTTTCACATTTGTAATTCAGACCTCTTTTCTCTTTTCTCCTCTAAACTTGATGTACTTTAGTATATGTGTCTGGAGTTTTGAAAGAGTAAATTGTATGGAGGTTGGAAACCACAAACCTTGATTAGTTATTCTTTTCTTGCTTTCCACCTAGCATTAATTCATCAACTGTCTGCTCAGGTCTCACAATCTAATGAAATACACTGGGAATGGGAGACATGGGGAGCTTTGATAGTTGTTTTAGAGAGATTTTTTTTCCAGTGAGATAATATCTATATTTTTAACATTTGATAATTAAATGTACTGAATTTTAGTACTTTTTAAAACACAAACTTTGGTGTCAATAGGCTGGGTCTCTGACAAGAGGTTAACAGTAGGAGTGAAAAACAGAAAGAATATGGGGGAAAATGTCTGCTTTCAATAAAGTATACATTACGGTAACATATTTGTTGAAATTATTTTCATTGTAATGAAAGAAATCTGATTGCAGATTCAAGATCTACTAAACTCATATTTAAAGATAAACACATGAACACATTCTAAAGCTAAATACACATTTCTGATTTATTAATTTCACTGCAAGTTCCACGATACAAAAGAAAAGCCAGACCACCTTCAGTAGATAAGTCTATTCATTGGTCTGTGTAACTGATATGAAGGGATAGTTTAATATACAACAGAGTTTATAAAGACGTAACAGATAAAGGTGAAATATTCATTAATCAAAGAAAAAATGACCTTTGAGGCATAGAAAGTCATTTAATAGACTGCCATCATTGTTGAAGACTGACTCCCAACATCAACAGGAAGGATGCTGGAAACGACACTCTATGGAAACTATGGAAGATCACAGGGGCATCTGATCTGTCTCAAGTGGAGCATACTGGAAAATGATATGAGGTCTGAGGTTAAGATGCTGTCACATAATACAGGGAGTTGAGATACTCTAGAAAAACTTATGTGATGAACTCATAAGATTTAGAGTACAGAAACAAAAGACAAGAGAGTTTCTATAATTGAGAAGACAACTACAAACTACTAGCCTTAATTATGATGCTTCTATTCTTCAAGACTATTACAAATCATTCCAGATCTCCCCTTTTTGATTCCCTATTTTCCAAATAAATCCCAAAGTAGATGGCTAGATAGGTATAAATACAGTTGAGGCAATATAGTATTAGTCATAAAGAGCACAGACTTTGAAGATACAACACTTATGTCTAAATCTTGTGCCACTTACTAGTGTGACTATGAATGAGTTACTTGGCCTCTCTCTACTGCAGTTTGCAGAGTAACTGTACCTAATTACCTTATAGGGCTGCTACAGGAATTAAACCTGTTTTAAAAAGTACTTAGAACAGCATCTTGAACTGCATAAACATTTACAATGACACAAATAACAACAATGATACACTGCCAAAAGTAAACATTTTAAGCCCTGGCCTGTTTGGTTCAGCGGTTAGAGCATTGGCCGGCGGACCAGAGAGTCCTGGGTTCGGCTTCCGCTAAGGGCACGTACCTCAGTTGCGGTTTGTCCCCAGGCCCGGATGGGGTCATGTGGGTGGTAACCACTCAATGTGTCTCTCTTACATCGATGTTTCTCTCTCTCTTCCTCCCTCTCTCCCTCCCGTTCTATCTGAAGATAAATGCAAAAATGTTCTTGGGTGAGGATAAAAAAAAAAGTAAACATTTTAAAAACCTTCCTCAAACCCATATATGGGCCACTATTTTCCGGGTTTTAAAAACTTTAACTCATATTATCCTCCAAACAATTGAAGAAGAAAATAGTTTTATTCCAATTTTACAAACAGGTTCTACAGAAAAATTAGAAACTCACTAGTCTAAGTAACCCAACTAGAATGTAGTCCAGTATGCAAATATATAACAGGCTGACTCTCTAAATCCTCTAATTTGCTCCGCTCTGCGAAACTCTTACAAGAGATTTAAAAAAAAATTTTATACAGCAGTTACTAGGAGTAAAACTCGGGGGTGGGGGGTGGGGTGGGGGGGATACATTATTATCCAGTTAAATACAAAAAAAATAAAAAATTACTTAATATATAATATATAACTTATATAATATGTAAAATTACTTGAAATATTAGAAATCAGGTAAAAATTTGGTGAGGGGAAAAAAATATACTGATGATAATAGCAGCTGTCTTTTACTGATTTTCCCATGAGCTAGGCACTTATCTGAATATTTAATATGCATGTTCTGTCTCAATTAATCCTAGGAAATAATTATTACTGTGATCTTATTCTACAGATGAGGAAACAGTATTAAATAACTTAATAGAAGTCATACAGCTGAACAAAGGCAGAGCTGACATTCAATTCCTAGTCTATCAGATGCCAAAGCCTATTCCTTTAACCACTATTCAAGCTGCCCTAAGGTTATACACATTTTATTGAGCTCATGTATTAAAACCCCAAATCTCCAATATAATATATGGAAGAACACTCAAATTAAAATTAAAAATAATGCCCTTTATTAGTTCTGTAGCCTAACATACACAGTCAAACATAGCAAAGTTTATACACTGTCAGGATTACTACTTAGTTAGATGGCATCCTCTTGAATCTTAGAATCAGAAGGCAAGAAACTCTTTAAAACTTTTCTGGAATACAAAAGTGATTCTTAAAATACTATTCCAAAACACTGTGTGTGTATATCTGTATGTATGTATGTGTGTATGTAAATCATGTTAGTAAGAAAACAGTATTTTTTACTGTTTCAAGACATGTTATTTCCTTACCCAGCCTACCTAGAGCAGTATAAATTATTCCAGTTAAATTCAGATTATTCTGATTACTGTTTTTCATTGACAGGACATGTCTAAATTGAGCAATACAATGGGTTTAAATGCAGTAGTTCAAAATGGACAAGTAAATGATATTTTAGACACTGATAACAAGTTCTTCATAAGGGTCACAAAATTATTACTTAGAATGAAAAAATAGTAAGCTGTATATTACCCATAAAACTGAATTTAAAATTTCTAAATATATCAATGTCCTATTACAATGTCCATACCATTTTAACATTACATTTTTTCTACCAAAGGTTTTTGCATTAAAGACTTTTATTGAAAAATAATCAAATTAAATTCCATCAAAAGAATTTCTGTCCTTTACAAAAGACTTCCAAAACTAAGGAACACCTCAATTAACACTGTATTTCTTACAAAAAGAAGTGACTATAGCACGAAGAAAAATTTATATAGTTTCCTAAAATCTATACTAAAGGAAACTGAGCTACAAGACATTATGTTAACCTTTCCCAAAATGTATTCTCAAGAATATTAACAAGTGTTATTTGAAGAAACACTTTCATAATGCCATTTATAAAGAAATTGTGGACTTTTTGTTTTAGATTTTTCAAATACATGTTTTGTTTTGTTTTTTACCACAATAAATATAATATATGCATTATCAAAATTTTTGGAAAATTCAAGAATTAAAAGAAGCTGAAATAATCACACAGTTCTACCATTCAGGAGTAGTAACTATATATATATATATATTATTTTAGCTTTTTTCTTTAGATGATTTTTGTTTTGTTTTACAAAGTTGTGGTCATATTACATATATACTTTTGTTTCTTTACTAGGCATTATATGATTAGATTCTCAAGTTTATAAATTTTTCTGAGAAACTATATTTAATGATGCATATTATTTGAGATGACTATATCACAGTTGACTCCTACCTTTGTATATATCTACTAGAAGAAGTGTACAAGAACACTTTACTATTCTTCCACAACTGTTTTTTATTTTTATTTATTTTTTTAACTTATCTTTATTATTGAATGTATTACAGATGTCACCCTCTTTTTTCTCCTGTTGATACCCCCCTCCCCAATCCCGCTCTCCACCTGCCTTCCATCACACTACTGTTGGTGTCCATTGGTTATGCATATATGCATAAAAGGTCTTTGGTTTATCTCATCCTACCGGCCCCTCCCCCTTCCCTTTGAGGTTCATCAGTCTAACAACCAATTTGTACTTCTTATTTCTTTTTGTTTTTTACTACTGAAATGTAATTAAAAAAAATTATTGTATTGAATGCTTTGTCTTGAGTTATTTAATGTTTCGAGTTACTAATTAACATAGGTTTGCCATGTTTGTTAATTATATTTCCTCTTACGAGATTGCTTTTACCTATTTATCTTTTAAAATCTTTGTTTCTCAGCAATTTATGTTTTCTTTATAAAAAATAGTAAGCCTTCATCCAATTTACTGCAAAATGTTTCCATTTGTTACTTGCCCATTTAATGTTGTTTATTTTCCTGTTAATTCTCTGAAATTTAAATTTTCACATAAGAAAATCTATTTTCCCTTTAATTTCTTACACCACCTAGAAATGTGATATTTATTTATATTTTCATAAGCTTTAACGGCTTGATCTTTTTACAAAAAGATGTTATGCTTTAAAATGATATGTTTTTATTTCAAAAGTTGTTTCAATAAAATGTCCTTTCATTTCAAATTTAAGGTTAAAAAAAGTAAGAAATAAAACAATGCAAAATATATAAAATAACATAGTTTAAAGATCAAAAGTCCATGTTTTCTCAAATTCTCTTCTATTCATATACAAAAAAATATATACAAGAAAAAGTGTCCTTCTAGCTTACTAAGACATTTCACCTCTTCCCCTAATGATCTCTTAGCTCCTCCCTGATAAGGATGGAAAATCCTAGATCTGGAGTATATTAATAGTAATTCTGAATGTCCAAGAAGGGATATAGTACATTTATCCAAGATTCTCAGGCTTATTTCATTGCACAATTTTTTATTTAAGTAATGACAGTTCAAAGACCTGGTAAGATTTGAAACACTATTTTGGAAATGCTGGCTCAGCTTATTTTAATCACCTCAGACAACCCAGAACTGTAATGTTTTTGTAAATACAAAGTATGCATATCAAATATTAAAAGAATGAAAGACAAACTTACTTGGGATACACTGGCTCATAAAGGTACTTGTCCCCTCTCGTAGATGTAATATGAAAAAATAAGATGTAGCCATTTGCCGTCTGAAAGATAAATTTATTTACCATGAATTAAAGGATAAGGTTTGAATGTAACCCTAAATTTTAATTTTATATATTCTTACTTTGAAAACACTTCACTTTTAAGAACCCTCTTTAGAAGAGCTATGGTCTAATTACACAAATTTTAAAAGTGACTTTGTTTTCATATAACCCATGAAAAGGATTTCTATATTTTGAAAGCATTTCATAAATGTCATTGAAATGAATAGTTCATATTATACTTAGATATTAATATTCTAAAATAAACATACTATTAATTTATTATTTTTTGCAAAATATATAGAACTTCTGGAACTCTAAGATATGGCAAATATTTTTTCCAAATTTTAAAAGCAACAATGTCACCAAATAGTAACTGTATAATGAAATTCTTAATTCTACTCAGAGTTTGTATAGTACACTTTTAGAATAACATAGTTATATATTTCAAAATTAATTAACTGGCCTCTAACTTACTATATAATATACGCTGTGACACAGAAGAAAAACTGAACATATCTATTTTCAAAATTTAAACATCAGTTTATTTAACAAAATGTTTTAAAAATATAAATTGTATTGAAACAGTGCCATTATATGATCATGGCACATATTTGTGATTTGTGAAGCTCAAATAGCCAGTTTACATTTATATAAATATAGAAAATACTTTATGTAGCTGTTTCTAGCCAAACATTTCCGGCCATAACAGAGTGAAGTGGCAAGTGTTTTACCTAAACTACTTTAGACTAATGCTAAATTCTTATCATTTTAGAAGCAGGTGGGCTTTCACCCAGAGTAGAACCAAAGAAAACTGAAAACACTATTTAACATTACAAATTTCTTCCCAGTACTGGCTTTCTGTTTTTTTACTTAAAGGAATACCAGAGAAAACATTCACTTTCTTTAGCAAAGACAGATTTTTTTAAGACATAAACTTTACTATTTCATAATATATTCCACAACTCTAGTTCAACATACTGGTATACAAAAGAAAAAATAGCTAAGATTCTTTCAAATAAAAGTAAAATTCTAATTTCTCATGTGTAATTTTATATTCCTCTAATGTGGAGAATACGGAATCAATAGGAAAATGAATTCCATCAAACCATATCAAGTTTCAAAAACATCATGACCCCATACAGATTAGCAACTATTTACAATTTGTAAGCTCTACTGTTACCTTATATAGGCTAGAAAAGTAAAATAATATGATCTGGTACTTAGACAAATAACATACAAATACTGTCCAGAATATCAGTCACTCAAGGTCAAACATTTCAGGATATCAAGAGCTAATAATATACTTAGAATTTTACTACAATGCCAGGAAAAATATAGCATCATTTTTCCACCAGCATTTAGCAATCATCTTTACTAAGTATCTATGGCTTCACATGTGTATTAAATTCTGTAACTTCCAGATCTCAATGGCATTAATCATCATTCTAGGACAGGACTGTTTATGAAAATGTCAATTTAAAAGTTTTGGTAATAAACAATTGTCCTTAAAAAGTAGCATCTTTATTTAACTATACTAAAGCAGTTATGCAGTTATAATGGCTCTTCTCTTCCTAACCCAAAATATTGCAAATAAGCTTTTAACTATTGTTTAATCTGCAGGCAACAGTCCCAATACCTTCTTCTAGTATGCACACATCCTCCAAAACTCAATTATTTCTTCTAAGTAAATGAAAAAGTAAAATAAAGAACCTCAGAGTTCTCTTTCCTGTTATCATCCCATCTCCCTCTTTTTTTGTTCTTTCTCCAAAGCAATGCTTTAATCATAGAGGCCCAACAATTTCTGTAGGCAACTTAAATAAGTCTTCATGTCCCTTTCTTTCATATTTTCATGACTTAGGGTCACAGATATATAAGAATAAAGGCTATACAGAGGAAACAGTAAGAAAATCACTACTTAAATAGAGGATGGAACAGACAGATTTGTCTGTATTAATGCCATTTAGAAGAAAAAGTATAAACAATACGTTAAAAGGACATTACTAATTCATCAAAAATTCAATCAGATAGGTGTGAATATTAAAGTTTAACATCACTTATTTTCAATTGCAAATCTGGTAATGGAGATTTTAAAATCTATGCAAACTACCTCAGCTAATTCCACATTTTAAAAAGAAGAGTTTGAAATCTAGAGGTGGTAGTTGTTATTATTAATTGCTTGTTTGTGTTTTGTTTTGTTTTGTTTAGGCATTTGGGAAGTTTTCCCTTGCTAACCCAAATGAAATTATTTTATGACTGATGCATGACACATACACTATAAATAGTAAGTTTCTGTAAACAGGAAAAATTTAAATCCAACTGTGTCATGAGGCAAATCAACTGCTAAATATAACTAAAGCCTAACCTATAGGCAGCCATCCCAGTATCTTCCTCTACCATTATCCAATGCATCGACCTAACATGAATTCACTAGATACTTCAAAATTCCAACTCACAGTGCATATCCTTTTTATTCTGAAGAAAAAGAGATTTATACATCTGGCTCCAATGACCTAAATGATACATCACAAAGATTTCTATAATAATTTACAAGATAAAGACTGTCATGTCAGATTTCAAATAAGGCTGAAATAATGAACTATCATATTTAAATTCTTTACACTGGTTTATAAACGATGTTTTCTGGTTTTAGCTTTCTTTCTTTCTTTTTTTTTTATCCTCACCTGAGGACATTTTTTTTCGTTTCTTGTTCAGATAGAGTGGGAGGGAGAGAGAGAAACAGGGACATATCGAGTGGCTGCCACCCGCACGACCAACCAGGGCCGGGGACAAACTGCAACCGAGGTACATGCCCTTAGAGGGAACTGAACCCGGGTCTCTCTGGACTGCAGGCCAATGCTTTAACCGCTGAACCAAACTGGCCAGGGCGCTTTTTAAAAAAAAAAAAAAAAAAATGTTTTTATTGATTTTCTAGAGAGAGAAAGGGAGAGAGAGATAGAAACATCAATGTGAGAGAGAAACATTGATCGGCTGCCTCCTGCACGCCCCCCTCTGGAAACTGGGCCTACAACCCAGGCATGTGCCCTGACTGGGAATCAAATCGGGACCTTTTAGTCCATAAGAGGACACTCAATCCACTGAACCACACCAGCCGGGCATTAGCTTTATTTCCTTTTTTTTTTTTAAAGAGGTAGTTTTTATTTTTATTTATTTATTTTTTTTGGTATGTGCCCCTAGCAGGAACCGAACCCGGGACTCTCTAGTCTGCAGGCCGATGCTCCAACTGCTGAGCCAAACCGGCCAGGGCTATTTCTTTATTATATATGTTCAAATACATAAAATTAATCACCCCAAATGATACCACTAAAATAGTGATCTAACACTTTTATATGATCTTTCAGACTTTGTGCAGTCTCACATATGATTATATTTAAATGGGAAATGATAAACAATTATAATCTCACTCTCAAAAATAGGTGATGAATATCTTTTGATATGAATACTCATCAAAAATTACTATTCCTAATACTATTATATTGTTTTATACCAGAGCACTAATTTAACAAAAAATAAAGGTTATCCCTTCTCTTCTACACAGCATGCTTTTGCATCTTTTCAACAAACCTGTCTGGAACAACTAGATTATCAATATGCAGAAAATGAATTTGGATCCATACCTTGCACCATATACAAAAATTAACTCAAAATATACCACAGACTTAAATATAATACCTAAATCATAAAACTTCTTAAAGAAGACACAGAAGGAAGATAGGAACTATAAAAAAACAAACTGATGAACTGGACTTAATCAGAATTAAGTACTTCATTCATTCAAAAAACAGTGTTAAGAGACTTGAAAAGACAAGTCACACATATCTAGAATCTTTCATATAAGGAGAAATCCTTTGTAAAGCATATATGTAATAAAGGAATTGTACCCAAAATACATGAAAGATTCTAGAAACCCAACAATAAGAAAGCAAAGAACCCAATAAATAAAATGGACAAATAATTTGAATACTTTACCACAGAAGACAGAAGAGCAAATAAACAAATGAAAGATGTTCAACAGCAGTCATTAGAGAAATGCAAATTAAAACTATAATGAGATACCACTACACACTGTTGGAATGACTAAAATTCAAAAAGCATACCACACCAAATGCTTGCAAAGAAGAATGAGAATTCTCATACACTGCTTGAAGGAATGTAAAATGGTATATCTACTTTGAAAAAAGTTTGGCATTTCCTTAAAAAGTTAAACATGCACCTAATTTATGATCTAGCTGTTCCACTCTTGGGTATTTACTCGAGAGAAAAGGAAATGTATGTCCATATAAGGATTTGTACATGAATGTTTACAGGAGCTTTGGAATAGCCCAAAACTAGAAACACTCAAATAACCATAAACAGATGAATGGAAAAACCACTTGTGGTATATCCATAGGATAAAATACTACTCAGCATGAACTACAAACTCATGACAATATGCATGAAACTCAAAATAATTATACTCAGTGAAAGAAACCAGAAAAAAAAAAAGAGTATATATTGTATGATTCCATTTATATAAAACTCTAGAAAATGCAACCTAATCTGTAGTGACAGAAAGTAGCTGGTTTTGGAGGCAAGATGGATCACAGGAGGGAGGCACAAGGAAACTTGTGGGGATGTTCAATGCATTCACTATCTTGATTGCAGCAATGGTTTCAAAATTTATCAAATGGTACAATTCAAATATGTGCAATTTATTGAACATCAATTGTACTTCAATAAAGCTATTTAGAAAAAAGAAATGGAAGTGATGGTTTGACTTGTAGCAGAAACTTTTGCTCTCTTGAAGAACTTTCTATTATCACTTAAAAAAGCCGCATCTAGCCCTGGCCAGTTTGGCTCAGCGGTTAGAGCGTCGGCCTGTGGTCCAGAGAGACCTGGGTTTGGTTCCCGCTAAGGGCATGTACCTCAGTTGCAGTTTGTCCCCAGCCCCGGTTGGGATTGTGCGAGAGGCAGCCACTCGATGTGTCCCTTTCATGTCGATG